TAGATAAGGTGATAAAGCTCGTAGAACCGACTATCGATGGGGACGAAAGGATGTCGAGTGGCAGCCTAAAACCTATACGCGAAGTGTAGGAGGATCCCCATTAGATAAATATCGACCTGTTAAGACATGCAAGCAGTCGATGGATAAAAGTGGCTTAGAAACGCGCTTTCTTTTAGAATAAGGGTGACAAACAGCCACGCAGTCCACCTGATTGTAAATGGATGTTGTGGTCCATAGACATCTACATCTATGTTCGATCGACATCATTAGAATCAATCGTTTTGAGTAGACTAAAGAAAATCGCAAGTTTAAGGTAACAACAATAAAAACAAATATTTGGGCATTAGCAATTTTTAAAGTCAGCTAAAATTGCAAAATCTAAACTTCACAGATAAGTGATGTGAAGCATTATTTATACGTGGTAGAGCCATGCTACAGCTATATTTCTGGTATAGTTGTAACACGAATGGGTTGGCTTGACCGGGGAAGGACCACGCTCTCACAGAATACCAGCGTAAAATAGCAGTTTAATGCTGCTGTGTTTCGTATGGTGAATGTAGAGAACCTTTTTACTGGAAACGAGGCATTCCATCTTAGTCCTCACGGGTGACAACGCAACTGCATTTTGATTCGTAATCGAGGATAAATGTAGATGTCTATGGGCCACAGCAGCTACTTACCATCGGGTGGACTGTGTGCTCGTTTGTCACCCTTAGCCTATAAAAAAAAAATTACCAGTGTATCTAAAGCTATCGGCACCGAGCTAATAATAAACACCCAGACATCGCGGTTCTTCTGGGTAGGTACCTCACTCTTACGTATTTTTACCGCCAAATAACAGGGCGTGTATTACTGTATTCCTGTCGAAACGAATACAACAACATGCATTCATTATTTGAATCTGGCTGCAGATGACCACGGGCTTCTGTAGCCACTAACCATTCGCGCGGATCACGAATAAAGTGTACTAGTGTGTGCGCAAATACATTCTCTATTCCCTCTCCCCTCATAGTCTGATGGGATGACAATCCGACACAACCGGAAAGAGATCAGTCCCAGGACCCTTGGCTTTACGTGTTTTCCGGGGCACATGGGTAAAATACTGCCAATTTCCTTGTGGTATTCCTTGGGGGAGGCCTTGGACTTGTTAAGGGCTGTAATGATGATGATGAAGTACCTATTCATCAAAACGATACGCAGTAAGATTCAATGCAATCAGAGAAAGTAATCACAGCCAAACACAAAGTCAAACAACAAAAACTAGCATCTGTTTTATATCGCTAAGTCGAAACTATTGACGTCAAAAATTAGGTAAAGCAACGTAACTCTATAGTATTTAAAATAATCGTTAAGTTTCAAACCTTTTATTCAGTAAATAAAATAAAATTACGGTTTGTAAAATTCAACTCGGTTTAATTCACGAATACAATTCCTTAGTGACCTTTTTTTTCCCTTGAATCTGAATGACACTTGTCTTTCTAATGTCGCATAAGCCTCATCACTGATACAAGAAACTTGAAAAAGAACCTTTCCGATGACATTTCTACGAAACGAATGGAACAGGATTAGAATTGGATTTCTTGAAATTGTCACGAATATTTTTAAAGCTTTCATTTGAAAAGGTAAACTTATTTACGGCGTGTTCACATTACATTGTTATTTTGTATAGTGCCTCCACTGAGTTAATTATTGTAAAATTTAGTATTTTGCTAACTAATAAATTTCATTCCAATAATAATAATAATGTTTATTTCTCCTCACAAAAACAGACCATACATAATATTTAAATATTTAAATAATATTTAAATACAGGATACAGGTACGTTCACACTCATAGTCTAGAATATGTGAGGAACTGGTGTCTGAGTTAGGCAATAAAATGCCTGTATTACAAATCACCAGGTCCCCACCACACTGGATAAATAAGGGCATTATACGTGATGGAGTGTTACAGGTACTTACTACATATATATATACACTAGCTAACCAGGCAGACGTTGTTCTGCCCTTTCCGACGACCATTTGCTTTCCTAAAAAACTCCTGAAATTTAGGGACACTTATCGGGATAAAAACTATCCTATCTCTCAAATTGGACAATCTCAAATTGGATTGAATTGAAATAAGTTCAGTAGTTTAGGAGTTCATCGTAATTTTTATATATAAAAAAAGAGTGTGTGTGAGTGTGTGTGCGTGTGTGCGCGTGTGCATGTGTGTGTGTGACAATAAATTGATATTGAAAGGGAATATATTGATAGTTCCCTATTTAATTTATTATACATGTTACTGCTTTGGTGACAGTAAAATTGATGTGTAAGGCTAGTTCTGCATAGAGTTATAGTACAAACTTTATACTTGCGGCGCTGATTCCTAAAGTTATCTGGTTCATATTTTAACTGGGAATATTGTTTAAGTACAGTATAGAAAATGTAAATCTGTCTGACGATGAATTTCCAGTTTTGATAGAGATCAAACATTGGATAATACATTTCGATATATAACTGATTTTATAATGTGTCAAAACTGATGACATGCAAATTATTTCGACTGATATAAATTACTCGGTTAAACCTTAACCATACAATTTACAACATCAGCCAGTTTGACTATTACATACCTAATTAATTAGGATTTTAAGTATTCCAACAAAATGACAAATAGAAAGAGTAGAATGTCGAAATTACATTTTTTGCGTGTATGTAAACAATAAAATATTACATTCTCATTGGCATGTCAATGTTATTTAGTAGTCACAATGTGTTTCAGTAGTCACAAATATTTGTAATCTCTTTAATTTTTCATTGAACTATTGTCAAAATATTTTCTTGGTATTTCCTAACGCTGCATTGTCACAAACATTATGTGTAAACATTATGTTTCATACATTTTTTTATTTATTCAGTTAAAATTACAGACAGTACTCCTTTTCTACCAACTTCAAAAAGGAGACGGTACTCAATTCGACTGTATTTTTTTATGTGTCACCTCATAACTTTTTACTGGGTAGACCAATTTCGATGATTCTTTTTTATTTGAAAGCTGGTGCTTCACATATGGTCCCATATAAATTTAATCAAGGTCTGACCAATAGTTTTTGAATTATTATGAATAATTTATATTGTATTTTAATTTATATTCGGTTGTACAAAATTTTAAATTATACGCTAACAAGTCCATGTGTGTAGGTACCACCTTTTCACCTATTTCTATAGTGTTCCACAGTCTGAAGGTTATTGGCAGGCAGTACAATTACAGGCTGTGAGCCATTCTATCTCAGTCCTCAGTCCTGGTACAGGCTATACATCTTTGGAGTACCCTTCCAAATGATATTAAGAATGCAACAAATAAAAACTCCTTTAAGTACTTCTACAACAATATTACCTGAGGGCATATTCCGTTATTGCAGTTTTTTAAAATACGAGTAAATAAGGCTTCTACTTTTCTGCCGACTTCAAAAAGGAGACGGTACTCAATTCGACTGTATATTTTTTATGTGTGTTACCTTATAACTTTTTACTGGGTAAACCGATTTCGATGATTCGTTTTTTATTTGAAAGCTGGTACTTTACATGTGGTCTCATATGAATCATCATTGATCAAAGTCAGACTAATAGTTTTTGAGTTAACCTTAATAATTTATATTAAAGTCGGTTGTACAAAATTTTTAATTTTAAAATATATTTGAAATTATCCCAAATTGAATGTGATTTATGGACAACAACGTTTTTACCCACCGATCGACCCTTATGAATGTGTGCGTGTGCAATAAAATTTGTTAAAATGATTCATTACCACGCATTTAAATTTAAAAGGTAAATAAGACAGAATCTTTCAGATTTATTTAAATTAATTTTTCTCTGGAAATTTCGCCGGTTATTGAAAAATTACTCTGTATATATGCTATATGTATTTATATTTAAGAATGTGTTGTGTATTTTATATACTACGTATATATATATATATATATATATATATATATATATATATATATATTAATACATGAACACTATACTTATGTATTATATTTCGCACCTGCCAACAGTTATCTTCGGCACTCAGGGTTGACTGTCAGAGAATGCCACATGGCTTTAAGTCCTAAGTACCCTTCACTGTAAGGTGTTACATTTAAGTTTTTAAATAAATAAATACCTAAAATAGCCCTGGTTCCGATCGATTGCTTCTTCAATACCTGCTGTATTGAAGTGCTGTTCAATAGCCTGTAAGCCGACGTATCTGCCTAAGACTGCAGTCTTTTTTCCTGTCTAGCGGATATTAAATTAAGAGTGTGATGGGTCTTGCAATAATTTTCTCCAAACGCATAGACAGTTTTCACGAGCTTATCATTGATATCGTCTACTATATTGCAATCTTCGTAGGCTATTTTGTAACCCAAGCTGAAAATTTTCGGGATTAGGGACAGTCCACGAGAAGTTTTTATCCTAGCGCACCACTTCTCATAAAGGAATTCCTCATATAGAGGCTTTTTCCCTTCATGAAGTCAGTCAGTGGTTGTTCTCTTTTTTATAGAGGTGTAGGCAAACAATCATGCGGTTGACGAGCTGTGTATGTTGATGTGTTGATGAAAGTGTTAAGTCATGAAGTTATGAATCATGTGTTGTGTTGGTGAAAGTGTTAAGTCATGAAGTTACATATGAATCATGTGTATGTGGTAAGTCCTCAAAGATAACGGCCTATTGTACCTTGTTTATAATTTTTTTTTGCCTTAATATTTACAATAATGAATATATTAATATTGATTGATTGATACATAGAGAATTCACCTTTTCCATTATGTTATCTACCTGGTTTTCGAAAACTAATTAAGTTCGACGCAAAGTTTAAAAAAATGGAATGATAAACGAACTTACTATCCACCTGATTGTAAGGGCTATTACGCACTGTCGACTAGTCGCCGGCGACTCAGTCCCTCGGCGACCGAAACATGGGAAACAGGGCCCGGAGACCGAGCCGAGCGACAGTATTCCAAGTACATTCGTGCAGAATGGACGTTGAAGAACTTGCAATAGTAGCGGCGCTACTAATTATAAAAAGAAAGACAAATAAAAAAAAATCAAAAGAGTATTGGGTGCATCCTTTGTTAGAAGAACGGAGGTCAAAGGGAATGTTTAAAATATTTTATGAAGACGTTAGAAAATATCCTCGTAAATTTTTTAATTATGCAAGAATGTCTGTGAGTTCGTTTGATGTCTTATTTTGTCTTCTAAAACCACATATAACTGGCATAGATACAAATATGCGACCATGTATTTCTCCGGAAGAAAAACTTTTTATAACACTAAGGTAAGTGACAATTCAAATAAAATTCATTCCTAACATTTATTTTTTACGGGATTTTAACACAATTTACATTACATTCCCGGACACATCTATCGGCCAAACCTAGTGTTTAAAGTGTTGACAATCCCTAGCTAAAAATAAATGTTAAGTGGTGCAATAAGTTTTTATGCAGTTTTTTACGAAAACGATGGCCAGTAAATCAGCTTCACACCTGCAAAAACTTATTGCTCTTCCTAACATTTATTTTTAGCTGGTCTCCAGTCAAAACTTAAAACTCAAGGTGGGCCGATAGATGTGTCCGGGAGTGTGTTTAGAGTTACAGATAATGCCATCCACGAAGATGCGCGATTAAATTTAAATAGAGCATCTTTCGTGCTGTTCATAATACTCTTTCCTGATTAGTCAATTTCTATTAGTGTGCGTTTGCATTCATCGATAATTAGCGTGTATCGACAGATGTTTAACACATGTGGAAGATAGCACACATGCATTTGAACAAAGAGTGGGGCGCGTCTTCGTGGATGGCACTATCTGTAAGTCTACTCTTCGATGACATAATTTAAAAATATACGGTAAATAATTATAAAACATGTATTTTTTTAAAGTACTTAATGAAATCAATATTATAAACGAACGCACAACAAAAGGAAATATTCAAAATAGATCCAAAATGTCAGAATCTTGCGAGGTATTTGAAGTGACAGTAGAAAATCGCGACTCTGGGCGTTCACGTTCTGAAGGAGTTGAAGTTGGTAGCGTATAATAATGTTGTGCTTCAGGGCGTGATTGTTGACTTGGTGCTGTTGAACGCCCGGCCTCCGGTGTGAAGTAACCACGCTCATACTCGTACTCATTAAAATTTCGCCACATTGTGTTTGGATATATATTATTTTGAGTAGAGGATCGGAATGATTCGATTACACTGATTAATTGAATTTTCGCAGCTGACTTTTTGTGCTCCGGAATTGCCCTAAATGATGATAATAGGGACATCAGGAACATTCTGTCCTCATCTTGTTCCAAAATATCCTCCTTATTTTTGCGAGTTTCAATACACTTGTTTAATGTGGTTAACAGTTCGCTTGTGCCATCATCTGACGTTTTTTTCTTTTTTCTTCCGACTATATTTTCTCTCGAGTAAGGTCCTAAAGGTTCTTGATCATTTGTCAAATGTTCTTGTTCAGCAATGTTACTCTCTGTGTTCAAATTACCAACGGTATTCTTCAAAAATAACAGCTGATTATAATAAATATAGGGAGTTTTATGGGAAGCAGCAGATCCGCTTTTACTATTTTTTAATCTTCGTACTTCTCGCGAAAAGCAGCTTCTTATATTTTTCCATTTCTTTTGAAGTGAATGACCTGTAAATAATATATATATTTAAATTATTTTTTAATTCCAGATATCTTGGAAGCGGTTGTAAATTTGTAGATTTACATTACTCATACAGACTTGGGATTTCAACTATATCTGAAATAATAAGAGAAGTTTGTCATTTTATATGGGTTGTACTAAAAGACATGTGTTTACCGCAACCGACAAAAGAAAATTGGTTAAAAATCGCAAAAGATTTTCATTTACGGGCCAATTTTCCAAATTGCATAGGTGCCGTAGATGGTAAGCATGTAAGAATTATAAAACCATACAACAGTGGATCATTGTGTTATAATTACAAACACTTCTTTTCTGTAATTTTGCTTGCCATTTGTGACTCTGACTATAAGTTCATATACATAGACGTTGGTTCCTATGGAAAGGATTGCGATTCAACTATATTTACAAATTCAACGTTTTATCAAAAGCTAATGAACAATGATTTGCAAATACCCGAACCTAAGCCCATTTCATCGACAAACCCTATACCAGTACCGTTTGTTATTGTGGGTGACGAAGCATTTGGACAAACTGACAAAATTATGCGACCGTTCGGTGGATCAAATTTAACAACAAAGAAAAAAATATTTAATTATAGGCTTTCTCGTGCACGACGCCATATTGAATGTTCATTCGGCATATTAGCAAACAAGTGGCAGATTTTTCACAGACCTATCAACGTGAATTTAGATCTAGTATCATGCATCATCAAAACATGTTGCGCTCTTCACAACTATGTCCGAGAAAGAGACGGATATAAATTTGAAGATACCCTGAGCATTCCTGGCTTTGAAGAAGTCCCAAACGGTTTCCAAAGAGCTACGCGACGTGGTGCATCATACAGAGATGTATTTGCTGATTACTTTACAACTGAGGGTCAATTATCTTGGCAGATGAGCAGTATTAATTAATAAAAAATAAAAGGCATTTCTTACTTACCTGAGTTTTTTTTTCTTCGTCTGATAATTCTTCACCTCCAAATAACTCCACTATTTCTTCCCACTGTTTTTTCTTCAAATCCCGATTAGCATATTCCTCACTTTGTAAATCCCAAATAGCTTTTCGGGATTGTATTTCCGATATAAATTTATCTGTGTCAAAACTCATTGTGCGCGGCCGTCCGGTCGTTACGACAGTTGCTCGCAGTGTGAATGCTTTCAATGAAAGCAATTTGAAACCGTGCTCCTATTGGTCGCCGGCGACCGGCAGTTGCCTGTGCGTCGCCACTGCGCGGCGAGTCGCCGAGTCGCCCGGGCAACCGGTGACTAGTGCGTAAACACCTATTTAAACTATACAATATTACAGTCGTCGACAACTGAGTCGCCGGCGACTAGTCCACAGTGCGTAATAGCTCTAAGTGTTTAGTACAATTATTGTTTAGGACACAACAGCGAAATTCAAACAAAAAAGCTACAGGTGCGTTGTTATCTTTGAGGACTTACCACATACACGTGATTCATAACTTCGTGACTTAACACTTTCATCAACACAACAACATACACAGCTTGTCAACCGCATGATTGTTTGCCTCCACTTTTATAAAAAAGAGAACGGAAAACAAGGGAACAACCACTGACTAACTTCATGGAGGGAAAAAGCCTCTATATGAGGAATTCCTTTTTGAGAAGTGGTGCGCTAGGATAAAAACTTCTCGTGGACTGTCCCTAATCCCGAAAATGTTCAGCTTAGGTTACAAAATAGCCTACGAAGATTGCAATATGGTAGACGATATCAATGATAAGCTCGTGAAAACTGTCTATGTGTTTGGAGAAAATTCTTGCAAGACCCACTTTTAATTTAATATCCGCTAGACAGGAAAAGAGACTGCAGTCTTAGGCAGATACGTCGGCTTACAGCCTATTAAACAGCTCTTCAATACAGCAGGTATTGAAGAAGCAATCGATCGGAACCAGGGCTATTTTAGGTATTTATTTATTTAAAAACTTAAATGCCACCTTACAGTCAAGGGTACTTAGGACTTAAAGCCATGTGGCATTCTCTGACAGTCAACCCTGAGTACCAAAGATAACTGTTGGCAGGTGCGAAATATAATACATAAGTAAAGTGTTCATGTATTAATATATATATATATATATATATAGTTATAAGCATACACTACAACTTTATTATTACTGTGTTAAATTATTTCACTTTTACCTGTGCAGAATACAGAAGTTCCATGTGTTAAAATTGTAGGATTCGCTAAAATAGTCCATGTATCAAATCTCTGAATTCATATTTGTTAATTTAACAAATTAATGCCTGCGAACGCAAATATCTTTATTTAATATTCGGTTACTCAATATTGAGCTAAATTTTCAGCGTTTGCCTTAGTTGTGTTATTATAGATCGATTACGGCTTATCAGATTGAATTTTTTACTGCTTTCGATTCGAATAATAAGTTATTGGTATTATCTTTAGAGAAAATCCCAGTAGACCGAAGTCAGGTGTTAACAGGAGGAGGATTTTGACGTGGTAGAGCCATGCTGCAGCTATATTACTGGTATAGTTGTAGCACGAATGGGTCGGTTCGACCGGGGAAGGACCACGCTCTCACAGAATACCAGCGTAAAATAGTAGCTTAACACTGCTGTGTTTCGTATGGTGAGTGTAGAGAACCGGAGACCCTTTTTACTGGAAAAGAGGCATTCCATCTTAGTCCTCACGGGTGACAACGCATATGTATTTTGATTCGCAGACGAGGATAAATTTAGAAATTTAGATGTAGATGTCTATGGGCCACAGCAACCAGTTACATCAGATAGACTGTGTGCTCGTTTGTCACCCTATCCTATTAAAAAACTAATAGTGTTTCATAACCGTGCCTCGGAAATCAAGAATATATTTTAGTTACCGTGTAGTGCCGGCGTAAGAAAATCCACTATCCCACATCATCCGCACGTGTCATAAGAGAATAGAGTGAAAATTAAACAGTCGATGCGCAGCATCTTCGTAATAAAAACTCAATAATTAATCTCACCTTTTAAACGTTGCAACTATGAAAAATACCCCGGTATTACTATGAGAAAAATATTGGGGGATATTCTATGGGAGAGTTCTGACTTTTGATCGGCAGTGATGAAAGATGAATGAATGATTTATGGAAGATAATAATCCCTGGGAATGAGTCGATCGCTACCAAGCTATTTTTAATTTGTTTTGTGTGGTTAATTGTGATTACATGATTGTAAGCTGTTATTTAAAAAAAGTCCCGCTGGGTTTCTTGCAGGTTCTTCCTAGGACAGAGGTTTTTTTTGAACCAGTGGTAATTAAACAAAAGAGGACTTTCAATAAGTATTATATATAATCTATATTGAATAAAAAAGTTTCTGTTTCTGATGAAAATTGTTTTGAGTAATTACTATGGCGGAGAAATCTGAACACAGATATTAGCGAACTAAAAATAATTTCTTTAAAATTTTTGGTCCTATAAGTTTTGTAAAAAGTTCGCAGCCGTATATATCTGGTGAAGCCACACTGTAGCGTGTCGTGAAGCGACAATTAAAAAAAAATAGAACCTAACCTAAGTACAACAAAACAACAAAAGTAGAGCCAGAAAACAATATATTTAAATTTTTAAAAGGTATTTACAATTTTATAAAAAAATGAAATGAGGATGATGATGAATGAAGTGAGAGTACAATTAGATTACAAAAAAATAAAGGTAGGAGAATAGGGGAATATAGAGTTGTAGTGGAGCCTGAAAGTCGAAGCGACACACGTTGCGATTGTAGAGGTAGGTTTCTTAGCAGCGACGGCACGCAGCGCCTGAAGCCAGCACACGCCGGTTGCGCTTGTAGAGGTAGGTTTCTTAGCAGCGACGGCACGCAGTGCCTGGAGCCAGCACACGCAGCGTCCGGAGCCGGCGCACGTAGCGCCTGGAGTAGGTGCGCTCAACGCTTAGAGTCAGCAGTTGCAGCGCCCAAAGGTAGCGCCGGCGGTAGGTGCACTCGGCGCCTGGAGTAAGCAGTCGTAGCGCCCGGAGTAGTGTGGCCCCCACGCTTGAAGTAGACTGCCGACGACTTTCGAGGTAGATGGAGGCTTGTAGGATTCCGGAGTGGTGCGGCCCCGCGCTTGAAGAAGGCTTCGCCGAAGACTTCACGTGTAGGTGGAGGCTTGCAGGATCCCGGGGCAGTGCGGCCCCGGGATAAGGCCTTTAGAAGATGCTTCCAATTCGAGAACTGAAGCAAGACTGCCTTTCTTCACCGATTGTTCGGCTTTTATACCTTTCTAGAGAGAACGGAAAAATTATTTAAATTAAACGCAAATTTTTTGTAAATGGTCAAGAGAAAAGAGTATTTATGTGGAATTATCGAAATAGGAACAACAGATCGGTAGCAAATTTGAATATAATTACTATGGAGACCAAATAAACAACAATGTCAAAACATGTCAAATTTTAGTTTTAGGCTTGTAATAAGAAAACGGCAAGATTTAAGTGGAAAATGAGATATTATTGATATAGGAAAAAAGGTAGCGCAACTGCCCACACAAAGCCCGAAATTGTAGAGTTACGGAAAACTAACTAAAAGATCGAAAAAAGGTAGACTTTATTGACACCAATTTAAAAGTGCTGATAATGTGAAAATACGAAGTAGAAATGATTTGTTATTGTGTTCTTATGGTTTAAAATCGTTACAGGATCCTATGGAAATAAAGGTGATGTAAAATATCCAGTTTTGAAGTGAATGCAGAAAATCGAAACAGAATGGAAAAATGAATTTAAAATAATGTAAAATGATATGTAAGTAGCATAACACTACATTTTCCCCCCGACCCTGGAAAATTTTTGACTCAGCGAAAATTTTGGTATATACATTCTAAAATAAACCATTAAAACACAGCTTTGCAAAAACAGACATCACCAGGCAAAATCAGATATACTATCTCTTACATTCATCATCTGCCATTCAGGTAAGGGTGGAGTTCACATTCAATGACTACCACTCTAAAAGTGTGTTTTCGAAAGGACATTCAGGCTTATTTAAGGAGTTGTCATCCGCTCCTGTGTGGAAAAAAAAATTATTAAGGGAGTAGTCAACCACTCCCAAGTGAAGATAAAGATAAAGAAATACCTCAAGTAAGCTTTAGTCGCTATGACTTAAGTAAAGATTAAGAACGGCCAGAGCGGTAGGGCTCAAAGCCAGAGATCAGCAACATCACCAACGAGATGTGTCTGAAATAAAAATAAAAGGTGACGATTAACCAACGAAAGTTCGAGGTCCTAAAGCAAGATGTGTTGAAGAACACTGGATCATCAAACAAACAAACAAATTAAAAGAAATAAAAATAATAAGGTGAGAATGATGGTGATATTTATACATATATACAAATTAATAGTTAATAAAAGTTAAGAAAATTTATGATTTTACATCTTTGATGTGCCACTTGCCTCTAACTCCATTAGGGTCTTCAAGTACATAGACTAATGGTGACAGTTTAGCTATCACTTTGCACTTGATGAACTTAGGGGCAAGTTTAGCATTAAAGTATGCGCCGGCATTGCTTAAAACATGGTTTTTACGCCAAACAGTATCTCCCACATTAAATTCTTTAAAAGCCCGGCGAAGATCATAGCGAGCGCTATTTTTAGCGTGCGCTATGTGAAGTTTAGTTTGAACTTTGTGAAAGATAGATGAGAGGAGACCAGCATTAGACGCGTAAATATCACGAGGCATAAATATTAATTCCTCGAGGTTCTGAGTTGGAGTATAGAAGGAACCACAAGGTATTGTTTCCCTACCAAAGACTGAAAAGTTTGGAGTAAAGCCAGTAGCTACATTTGTAGCGCTGTTCATTGCGTACTGAATTTTAGTAAGATGGTTGTCCCATGATCTATGATCGTCTCCTACTAGAGATGCTAGAGCTGTAATTATTGTACTATTAAACTTCTCCGTAGGATTAACCTGA